GGCCAAACAAGACCAACATTTGGTAGGGCCCTTCCTGTATGTACAAACGGCCCATACTAAAAAACTGACTAAGTTGCAACACCGCAAGCAACGTATTCACAGGTCCAAAGAAAACAGGTCTCTCCAACAAGTAACAAGTTTCTTTATATGAGTATGGTGTTAATGCTCACCTAAACTAAAGTATACCCAGGGAGTCAAAGACTATAAAAAGAATGGTCTTTAGGGGACCTGAGTTCGGGAACTTCCTTTACTTCAACCGGTCAAAATATAGTCGAACTGGACTTCTAGGGTATATTTAGGTGTTGAGTACTAAAGCTCACCTAATTGGGACCATCCTTTCACCCCTCCTCTCCCTAAACCCACGCTCCACTCCGCTGCCGCCCTCCGTCCACGTGCCGCCGCCTTGCTGGGCAGCGCGGTCTGCTCGGAGAGCTCCTCCGGCAGCTCCGCACGCGCAGGGCCTGGAGAGGGAGGGTGGGTGGATGCCTGGAGCCATGGCACCTGGCACCTGGAGCCGGAATCACCCTGGAGCCATGGTGGACACCTCCCTATGGTCGACCGGTGATGGTACGGTCTGTCTAGGAACCAAATGGAGGGTCCAACTAGTCGGTCTCTTCCTTTGCTGTTTTCTTCCAGCAATAGGATGTGGGTGACAGAATTCCCTGGGCTTTTGTTCGACCATCAGAAAGGTTGACCTGGTGTCCTAGGTCCGAACTCCTGAGTTTCCACAGCTTGCTGCGGGTGAGGAGGCTGTGGCTGTCATCACCTGGACCTTCACACCCCAGCTCGGTCTGGGGAAGAAAAGCGTTCGGACTTGGGTTCACGGCTGGTTGACACTGGTTGACCATTGTTGACCTCATAGCCAGGTAGAAAAATGTGGGCCTGGCTCCAAGAAGCTAGTGGATTTTGAGGTGGTTCCGACTCTCAGACGCCATCTTGTAGCTCTGGTTCGGTGGGTGAAGAATGATTCAGGTCTTCCAGCTTGTGAATGTCGTGGTAAACAGGGTAGCTGATGGTGAGCTACGGTCAAAACATCGAAAAGCATATGAATCACATGTCATCTCACAGAAATCCAACGTGCCAAAGAGATCGCACAAGGTGGAACGTGCCCCTTTTGGGCGGTGTGATTTGAGGTGATCGAATGAGGTGTCCAGTAAGTCGGACTTGGCTTGACCTCATAGTGCCAGAGATTCTCCAGACCTTCTCACTCTCGAGCTGGTATGATCTGGAAAGTACAAGTATACTAAATATAATTGCCAGGACCTTCAGTACGTGACCTCTTTGGAGTCTCTGTCTGTGACCTTGTACAGACCTATATAAGTGACCTCATTCTGGGATGTCAAGGACGGTCACGAACTGAAGGTCCTGGTATATATAAAATCTAAGCTTCCACTTGTTCGATCGATCCAGCAAGTCTGAGAGCTTGCTGTCCAAACACACGAAGCTCGTGTCAGCACCGTCCCTAAACACAAACCAATTCATGTTTAGCGCCCAGAAACTCCACTGATTATGCCAGATTCACCCCTCTGGCGCCACTCCGGTACATGCCAGTCCCATCGGTCGTGTCAGGGATGGGGTTCACCCACTTTTCACTCCCAAACATTTGGTGACCGAACGTGGGTGAGAACAGGGGCGGCCGGACTGTGCCGAGTCCCACGAAACACGGTGACAGTGGCGTGTGCTGTTTTCTGGCGTTTTCCTGGACCCGACTTCACGTACCTTGGAAAATGGGACATGACTCAGACCCTGTCGAAACAGTGCCCATTTTCCGAGGTACGAACTGAGACTCCACGTTCATCGCTATAAACTCAATGAACAACATGGTGGCTGCGTGTCTCCTGCATAGTAGGTTGGATGTCCTGGAAAAAAAACCAACAACTGACCAACCTCAACCCACCAACCAAGCAGCTCCATGTACTACGACGCCCCTTGACCTACGATGCGGGTGGTGTAGGTGACCTACGCCCCCCCCATCCATCTCCCTAGGCTTCCAACCACCATTAATTTAACCCAATCAACTAAGGATTTTACAATACAAAAACCAGGTCAACCATTGTTTTAATGGTCTTTGACTCCCATCCATCTACTTCGCCCGAAAACACCGGGAAAACACCGCGCGCGAGGAGCCGATGGCGCCTCCACTGCAGAAGATGATCTCGACGGAGTGGACCTGGTGCAAGACGCTCGTCCAAGGCGAAGCGAGACGAAGGGGAAGGACGAAGTCGAATGGATGGATGGACTATGTACTATACGAAAGGATGACGTTTTCTTCAATATATCCATTGTTGCATATGGCATCATATATGGCATCATGCATATGCAGCTATACTTATATGGCTTACTATATGGTTTATACCTGGAGTCTCAAAGTACCTCCGAAAATAGGTACAAGTATCTGTTTTTTATGGGGTCATGTTCCATTTTCTAAGGTACATTGGAGGGTCCAGGTACAAATATGTTTCTATTTTTATATGCTTTCTGTTCTTGCTAGCTCCAGGTGTGGCCTTTTGTGGCCAGGGCTTGTATGGGGCTGGTGTGGCTTGCGTCAGGTCGGGCTCAAGTAGCTCGTAGCTCCCTTTCGGAGCTGAAAAAGGTGGGATGGGAGGATCGTCGGACTGGGAGCCCCTGGGGCCAAAAGGGCTAAGTGATTCGAATGACGTGACCATTGGCAGATTCACATCATGGAACCGCCAAAAAAACATCGGTCCATGTACCAGGACCTTCAAAGTGACCGTCCTTGAGATTCCAGAATGAGGTCACGAATCGTCCCTGAAGAGGTCACTTACAGACTCCAAAGAGGTCACGTACTGAAGGTCCTGGTAGAGGAATATGGTCCGAACAGCGGGGTCCATGTTGTGGCCCGTCTCCGGGGAGCTGCTAGCTGCTACCTCCCATGCTTTCCGATTTACTTACTTTCCCATGCTGACTCAATCAGTCAACTCCCAAAATATAAACGCATTGGGGATGCTCGGCTTGCTCTTGGGTCAGTTCTATTTAAAAAAACAACAACAGGCTGCCAAAGGGTGGAAGAAAGGTGATGGACCCATCGTCTCCACTTCGCGGTCAGGACTGAAGATGTTCACTTTGGGGCATGTATTAAAATACGGAGATCTCGAAAAGACCCCCCTGGAAGAAGGCAAATAGACCAACACCCATTGGGCCAGGGTGTCTCCCTATTCAAGTTCAGGACCCATGAAATTGATCTAGAAAACCCTTCCAAACCGCGCCCCACTCTCGCTTCAAAGGAGCTTCTGCACGGCGCCACTACTCGCGCCACTCTCAGTTTCTTTTCAAAGAGTTTCCTTTCACGCATCCGTGCTCGTGAAGGGTCCTGAATTCCTCTTCAGGCAGGGTCTGCACAAAGGTGAAACAAATTGGTTTGCATGTTGTTTAAGTTGTTGTGTTCTTCACCATTGGTTGTTTTCCAGTTGTATTTGTCCTTGAACAATACATGGTTCAACACGGTCGACCTAAGGCCCAGCAACGTCGACCATGTGTCCGACCATGATCGACTCGTGATGGCACCGGAGTCGGTTCACGACTTCAATCGATGGACTCGCTGAAGAAGGCTGAAACCGACTCCAAATTGTAAGACTCCAGGAGTTTCTGCAAGTCCTGCTCATGGCGGATTTTCTTGCGTGGCCACACGTTCCCGTGGCAGGTCACTGATATATTAGGCCATAGTTTTAACATGTTTTAGCCTTCACGATCGCTCTTGCCATTAGCCACGTGTTTGACAGCTGGTTTGGCATTTCCTCTGTCAAACCAACTCTCATCTTCTCAGGTGGAAAGCAATTCTGCCAAGCCCGCTAGTTTCGGATAGTTTTGGTAATTAATGCTGACGATATGTTCAACCGTGTTCAACCCTGGGGCTTGTGGTTTCTTGAGCGATTCGATTGCTTTTCCGATGTCCGAGTGAAGGTGTCCGCTTCCAATACAAAGCATTCGATCGTCAGCCTGCAGCACTCCCAGAAGATGAGAACAACAGAAAAATCAATTCCCTAGGCTTCCAACAACCATTAATTTAATAGGCTTTACCCAATCAACTAAGGATTTTACAATACAAAAACCAGGTCAACCATTGTTTTAATGGTCTTTGACTCCCAGGGAATTGAAGACCCTGAAACATGGTGGCGGGAATAAATGCCCGGCCTACCCGCGTGAACACATAGTCTACCACGATGTTCACTGTTGATTAAGTACCTAACATGACATGGTGGCGCTGCGCGCGCGCGTGTGTGTGTGTGTGTGTCAACCCCTGTTTCACAGGGGGTTCAAGCACATTGAATTTTAACGTATACAGCTTTGCCTGACTTGTGACAGTGGCAGTCCAACGAAGAGGCTGTTATGAGTCACCAATATGGACGCAGAATCCACGTACCTGCCTTTGCAAGTTTTCTGAGCTGTTGTCCAAGCTGTTCACCCTACTCTTCAGTAAAGCGCCTAAGGGGCGTTGTTAAAACATTCTGTTCTGCCGACCCATCGCTTCTTACCGTTGAATCAGCCAAGGTCTAACTGCATTAAAGGTCGAATTGCAGCAACACTGGACATTCACAGCTGACGTTTGCTCTTGCGAGCTCTATATCTAAGAGTGTGTGTGTGTGTGTGTCACCTCCCATTCCTCATGTTCCTAGGGACACTACCCGTACCTAATGTTCCTAGGGACACTACTCCTTGTATAGTTTACCTAATTTGCTCAATTCAGCAGGGGGCTCACGGGTCTGTTCCGTTGGCTCCAGGTTCAGACTAGGATATCAGGATGCTCTCCCGACGTACCTGCAACTCTTTGTTCACAGCGGTGTTTGAAACAATACCGTTCAGGCTGACTTCATCACCTTTCCGTTGCGAGCAGTGCCTTTTTCAGGTTTTGGTTCAGCGCTTAAAGTGCTATAGTGCTCAACCGAGATCCATCCTGAATTCTCGCTCCACGGGGCATGATTCTCAAGTGTGTGGCGTTCACGGTCAATCCCTGGGATTCGTCCTCCGGACAAGCCCTAGCTCTACTCTATGCACCAGTTGAAAAACATCAAACACACACACGGCCACCCAGACGCGACCCTAGGCCCGAATCCCATGGAGGGGTCCGGGGGCTCATATGGAGGGGTCTGGGGTCGAACCAGGGTCGGGCTGTGAACGGAGCGTCTGGGCACACACACACACACGGCCCAATTATCATGTGTCCACCTACCTTCCACATGGCCGTCCTTGATGCGATGGTCCACACTCTGATAGCCGCGGAGTCGCCACTTGTGTCGGTAGGCCGAGATCACCATGTTGTGCCTGAGCGCCGCCCGTCTGAAGCCCGCAGGTCACGCGTATGCTGAGGCGTTTGGTACATCCCAAGGTCCTAAAGGTCCTCTCCCAAAACAAAGTTGGAGGAAGAAAAACACAATCCCTTCACCCAGTCACACATACAACGTCACACACCCAATTGGATGAAAATTCAATCTGTATATATGTTGACTTACATTGTAGACTACAGGTGTGGGAACAATCCATCAAAATCTCTTCCAATCCAAATCATACAACACACGGACGCATCAACTTGATGCTCCATTCTCACTGCAATATTCCTATTCATCTTCCGGCTTGTTCACATGTTCCTTTGCATTCCTTTGTCTATCATACTTTGTTTCACCGAGCATCAGGAAGGCGAGCTTCTGTGGTTGGAGTTCGAACTGCTGCTGAATCTCATGGGCTTGATCCAGCACCGATTGCAGCTCGGGGTGTAGAAACTTCGTCTCACCTCACCGCTCGGTCGCAGCTCAAGGGCCCCCACCGCCCAATAGAAACGGCGCCGTAAAAGGTCGTCCAAGCGGAAAGGCCAACGGCTGGCGGAGGGGGAGGTCTCAGGAGGAGTGTGTGTGTGATTTTTGGTGTGACTGACTCCTGAGTCAGTTAGAAATTCAGTGGAAAGATCTGGAACATCAAGGTTTAATTAATCATGTTTAGTGCGGACAAAAACCAATCCCTCGAATCCCTCCAAAGAAAGCTTTTGCAGGTGACACACGTTTCACTCACTTCTGGTTAGGATACCCATACACTCCATGTATGGAATATATGCCTACATTGACCCCCCAAACCACCCCAATTGCCATTGATTTGGTTTGTATGATTCCTTCCTTTTGGTTCCTTCTCTGGTTGTCTATCGCAAAAAGACCCGGTGGAAAGTCGAGCTATAAGTGCTCTGGTCTGGATGGTTTCACGAGCCTACTGCATCAAATGCATGGGCATCATGGCTTTTCATGACAGCTTGAAGAGGAAGACCCACTGGTTGTGCTGCATCTAACCGGAGCCCAAAATGGACTGTCCCATCGGGCAAAAGATTGCAAAAGACAAGGAGTATCTCCCCAGTCCAGCTACACGTTCGGTTTATATGTAGTGGATCCCAATCAAACACGACATACCAGAAACCAGAGCCACACCGTTCGGTCGACCGTTTTCGTCGTGGCAACCCCACTGCTTACGCCATGGTGACTGTCGCCCTTGTCGCCTCACGGGGAAACCTCTCCCTTGTGGCCTCTGACAGGTGACAATCAAACACCAGCGAATGAATTCACATGAGAAGCATCCACAGGCTATGGCTTGGGTGTATCCCATTCCCTGTAACAGTGGATGATGATGGTTAGTAAAGGCCTTTCTCAAACATAGTGATCTTTTATTGACTGTTACAGGTCGGAAACACACAAGGGCTATTACGTACATCCTGATACTCTAATTAGATGCAACCATATGTCACGTCTCGCTTCTTCCTTCGTGAAGTCCTCCTCCGTGACGATCGACCGGACTCCTTCGACCTCACCGGACTGACGCGGACGATCCGGGGCGCCCTCTTGAAGCTGCACCTCTCGCAGAGGTTCCACCATGCGCACCTGCTGCGTCAAGGCGTGCCTGGGGCAGATCTGCCGGATGGCTGGGTGCGGAGATGGGGTGCCGAGACGGGTGCATCTGCGAGACGGGACTTCTTCAGGTGATGGGATTGGAGAGTGGCTTCCTTTGGGTGCGCTCTTCAGGGGCTGACATGCCAAGCATGAAGGCCAGCTGGACGGAAAGAACCATGGCAGCTCACATACCAAAAGGATACGAACCTTGCATGGGCGAGTCATTTCATGTGTTTTATGTATTGATTATAGGTACTATAACTGTAGCCTGCAACCACACATGCTGTCAGCTGTAGTTCTGGTCTAGACTGAATCAAACTGATGACTCATCACAACCTGTTGATTGGGTCAAGTAATGCCTCGACTGAAACACAAAGCAACACATCAAGTCTGTTTAATGCCATGTGGGCCACAACTATAGTGAAGACCCTCTTTGCTATATGCTGCTCAAAAGAATAATTGAATTTCAGGCCTTTGCCCAAACACACACCAACTTGGTTGAACTTCGACTCAAGAAAGGACTCGGCGGCCCTAAGCAAGGAACCAAATTTGATGATCGCAAATGATCAGAAACAACAATACAGCAAACCAACAAATATGTCACGGGTTGTTGGTTTCGACTCACGAACGAAAAAAAACATATATAGTCAGTGGGTTCAATCATCCCCAAGCAAAGGTTGAAAACACCACTATCTGAAACCACCAAGAAAAGGCGCACCAACCGGCGTTTCCACGAGTTGCACTACATAGTCCCAACGTCGTTGTCCTGGTCGTGCAGCGAAGCTCTGTTCTTGGCAATGCCAAGGGGTGACGGGGTGAGGCTCGTCACAGGCGCCCAAAAGGCCCGAAGTCAATGATCAACCTCCATCTCGCTAGTTATCTCACCCGCCCACTCACCCGCCCATTGCCATCACTCACCCGTGCCAGAACAAAAAACCGTGCCGCCAGTTTGGGCATGCCGAGCGGCTGATAGTTCAGCTTCGGATGGACCAACTCTAAGAAGCGCCCGAAGGTCTCCTCGTTCACCTCAGGCGCATCGCAGTCGAGGGACGGAAAGGCCGCCGCCGTGGAGTGAGGCGAACAGGAGTACCGCGCGGTTACTGAGTCCCGCGCCCCAAGGGGCAGGGGTAAGTGGGTTCTTTGGCCTTTTTGGGCCTATTTAGAATAGGAGCTACTAATTAGGAGCGATCGGACGCTACTAGTATGTTCCGGCTCCAGTCGGCCAATCTCCATCGCCAATTTGGTGTGAAGCGAATGATGCGCAGGAGGAACTCCGCGGTCTACTGATGGCTGATGATGGCTGCGCGGTCTACGGACGAGGAGAATGAGGATGTGGATAAGGACGAAAAAACATGCAGAGGATGAGGAGAACGTTGCTGAAACTAGGAAGCCCTAGGGCTCCAACCATATCCTCAGAAGGTGGTTAGACTCCCCAAACCCACCCCAACCATCTTCTCAGGAGGTGGTTGGAGCCCTAGGGAAGATCAGTTTCGTTTCAGGGCCTCGGACCGTCGCCGTTGCCTGAGGAATGCTAGCTGGCAAGTCTGACAAGAGACTCACTTGAAGTCTGTGAAAGTACTTCGCAGCTCAATCAGTAACCCCCCTTCTAAGATAGGGATCGCCGGGATCGCTGCTGACTTGTGTCCTTGATCTGTTTCAGAAAGGACCTCTTTTTTTTTGAGATGACTCATCTAGTGTACTAAAACATACTAAAACTAGCTACTGAATTTCAAAAACAAAACAATTTGATCCCAAACATCTTAGAAACAATTGGCGAAGTCCCACCTCATCAAGAGTTTGGGATCTCATAAAACCAGCAACCATTTTGATTCTCCAACACGTGGGACGATGAAACTTGAACACCACGGCAGAAAGACACACAGTTGTATACCTTTCTTATGCGCTATCATCACAGAGTCGCACAGAGAGTAGCATCAAAGTCGCACAGAGTCGCGCTAGCAACAGGCCGTCCAGCATTTTGTTCCCTCTGCAGTGTCAATGTTGAAGCAAATGCTGAATACGGAGTTTCAGTGGAGACGAGAAGATACAGATGAGATGAGCCGAGGTGAAGATCTATACAGCTTCTTGCTACTACCCAGACGCGACCCTGGGCCCTCATATGGAGAGGTCGGACCCTCCTCTGGAGTGGTCTGGGGGCTCAAATCTTTCTGTTTTGAGGGACCGGTCGGGCGTCGTTCACGGAGCGTCTGGGTATACTTACTACCCCCAAAGCATCCAGGTATAGCATATAACAGAATACGTATACTTACCCTAGGGATCCAAGTACCTTCTCAGAAGGTACGACTGGACCCGACAATGGCACCCACATAACAGTGTCGAACACATCACCTTTTGAGAAGGTATGACTGGATCCCTAGGTACTTACGTTGGGCTCATGAATGGAGGTGAATGATGAACGTATGTAACTATACATGGATGGTCTGGGTCATACACCGCCATCTCATCCCACATATGCCCAACTGTTAGGTGTCTGTCACCGCACTAGCCACATGGTCATAGCCTCGGCTATGCTGGGTTTTTTAGTTTGCAACAAGTTGGGGGTTGGTCCAGAATCATTCTTGAATGAAACATCTTCCAACATGGTCAATCAGATCTCCAAAACCAATTCCACGCCTTTGGGGCATCCGATCATCCGACTTCTCACAGTGGACTTCGGGTCACCCGACGAGACCCGGCGGCGGCGGGTGAAGCGTCAAGTGGCGTCCACGTGCATTTGCACCTGGATCTTTTTGGCCGTGGCCTCCTTGGAAATGATATCCTTCAAGACACTGATGGTGGTAATCGAGTCAGACCTGCGCCATCAGCTTTGCGCGGGTTTTTTCGCGCAGTGACTTCGCTGACATAGCTTGGAAGAGGAATGTGATATCCTGCAAGACATGTGTTACCCAGACGCCACCCTGGGCCCTCACACCGAGGGGTCGGACCCGAATCCTCTGGAGGGGTGTGGGGGCTCAAATCCCTGGGTATTGAGGGACCGGTCGGGCTATTTGGGGCGTCTGGGTAACACTTGATTAGATTCCTGATATGTAAAACTTGTGAGTGTTGATGTTTTCCTTTTCCACCACTTTCCAGCTACTGTCAGTTTCCCTGTAAGGATCTCTCAGTCAGCCTATTATACAGTATACACAGTATACTTGACTCTCATGGTGTCTGGCTCGTTGAAGTCATCATTTGTCAGCTTCTTGTAGAGACCTAAACGTAAACCTCTGCCCATGCTATCCACTTGCAGTATCATACAGGCACAAACCATGAAACTTGTCGTACTCCAAAACGCCGGTCTTGAAATGCCACCAACCTATGACACTCCATGAGACTGGCATATTTATTGATCTGGCGTGGTTTCAGGGGCCCATGTAGTCATAGGACTCCATGGACCCAAAATCCCTGTTGCGTACGTCGCGGGGTACGTCGCGGCGTACGTCCTTTCTTCTTTCCGGAGACACCTGAAGATCGCAGAGCCCTTGGAATACCTGCCATAGAGCTGAGTGCCCACAAAGGTGCTCCGGTACGCGATGACCTCCAGCACAGGCGTGAGGCTGCGACATGGACGGCTGCGGAGCTGCAGTCGGACTGCGCTGATGGCACCCCATCTGTACCCATTTGTAAGTGGGATCCCGGCAAGATCCCCAAACTGATATAGGTGCGTAGAACAAAAACGGCCGAAGCCCTTCCACGGACGTGTTACAAACGGAGGAGGCTATCCAGTACAAAAGCATGGCGTTTCCAGTCAATGAACAACAACCAGTCAAGAAAAACAGGCACTTTCCAATGTTTCTGTAGTACAACAAAAATACGATGTTCTTCCAGCTGTCCTACTTGGTTTGGATTCCGTCGTACCCCAACTGAACCACATACAGAGAAAACAAAAAAATGACTCTTGATTATAATAAAGCCCCAATTTGACTTGGAAATATTTGGAAATCCTTTTCAATGGGGTAGTCCATTAATCAAGAATCAAGAGTCTATAGAAAAAGATCTTTTTGCAAATCCAAGTGTTCCATCTCATCATCTGTGGGCCGCGAGGGCAACTCATTGACACATAGCATCAACCAGCTGTGCATGTCAGTCACCTGGGCCAGAAAAACAAGACACGTTGGGACCGTGAAGCCTCTGAGCTGAGAACAAGAGTGTCACATACTCCCTGAAATCATGGAAGTGGAGTGAAAACCACCTGCTTGGTCTTCGGAAAGTGGGCATCGAGGGTATGAAGGCCATGCCATCTTGCCTACATCCAAGTGTCCAACGCATCACCCTCTTTTCAAGAGGGTATGAAAGAAAAAACATGAATCCATTATAGGGCTTGGTTCACAGTTCTTCAAGAAGAATGCCAGGCATGCCACGAAAGGACATCCAGGACCGAAACAAGGCAGGGATGATCCCCGTTCGCTCCGAACGCCCCCCCCATCTCCGGTGACCAGTAGTCCAAACGACTCCCCTAATCCATCCACCCACCCGAGTCCCATCGAAGCGCAAAGGATGGGAGCCCAAACGGGCTTGATGATCCTAACCCGTTTGGGTTCCTGGCGTAATATCCTCAGGTGACCGGTGGTATTCAGACCCCCCCTGGCACCTACCCCAGTCCAACCGAAACGGAGGTGGGCCAGGAGCCCAAACGGGTCAGTTTCTTCTTTCGGCATCGACTCCCCAGCGCCGAACCCAAAATCACCACCCGCTTCGCTGGAGCTGGAGCGAAGCTAAGCCGCAGCTACGTCGTTGTTCCCCACGTGGTCGGCTGCTTGCGGCTGATGTGTGCACCACTCAAAACTCTTTGGGCACGAGTCTAAGTGCCCACAAAAAGGACTGGAACTGTAGGCTTGGCAGGCTTCACTGCCCACGAAGGAATCACTCCAAGACCAAACTATCTGACACATCGAACCCCCTAACAAAAGAACAGTCTTCATAGTCTTCTCACCTTCTATCTACCTCATCCCTATACGTACTTTTCATCCCATCCATACGCCATACACCCAAACGTTCCGGTGACTCCTCACTCCCCGGTGATCTCCCCTCAGCCTGCGTGAAACCCTCGGCTTTGAACCCCCCGCGTCCCCCTTCACCCACGTCCGCCGGTGACGCTCCGGTTGGGCTGGGGCACCGAGAAGGGTCCGCTCAAGCGGAGCTCGTTCATGGGCACCTCAGGGCTCACCTCCGGGATCTTCTCCTTGGGTTGGAGACCGAGAGCGATTCGGAGCGGGGAGAGGTGGAGACGGAGCCGATGTGGGAGGTGATGCGGAGGAGATGGAACCGACTGACTCGCTTCTGTCTTTTTCCCGAAAGCATTGCGAAGGGTTCTTCCGGAAAATCCCTTGAACACTGACACTTCGACACTTACACTTACACACTGACATTTCCACACTTACACACACACGCACACTGGAAGAGCGAAAGCATCCAAGTGCGAAGTATGCCAGTGTCATAGTGTAAGTATGCAAGCATGATATGCAAGGGTGAGTATGCAAGATGCAAGCATGCAATGAGTAGGCAAGTGTGAGTATGGAAAACTAGCACGGGAGATGTCCTAATGAAAAAACATTTCCCCACTTTATAAATTCTCTCTTAAAGGCGGAGTGCGGGACGAACAGCGTCAACCGAAAGTGCAACCCTCTGCGGAGATCGTGCGTGTCGAGTGCGCGAAATGCAGGCGAGAGTGCGATTTGCCGGGTGCCCGCGCAACCCTCTGCGGAGAACGTGCGTGTCGAGTGCGCGAAATGCAGGCGAGAGTGCGATTCGCCGGGTGCCCGCGCAACCCTCTGCGGAGATCGTGCGTGTCGAGTGCGCGAAA